AATCGAAATTCTTCTAAAAAAATGCAATAAATAATAATAATAATAATAATAATAATAATAATAATAATAATACAGTTCAGATAAGTTAATCTTATCACGAATAATTATGGATTTACGTAACGAAATTCTATTTATTCAATGAAAAAAACGAAAATAAGTTGATATAAAAATACGAGAATTATAATAATAAAAATGAATTTCAATATTTTCGAAAATATAGGTAGAAAAGGTGAGTGAAATTAACCAAGAAAGTAATGATTAAAAACATTATTTCAGCGACTCCCCAGTGAGGAAATGTTGGTGGAGTTTGTGATGAAGATTAGGTAAAAGTTGAATGAGCAAGTGTTTGAACCAACATGTAAGGAGGTAGAGAGTTGCATTATCAACCACCACAAAATTCAAAGGATTGCTTCATGAGTTGGATTTTAAGATTGGGAGTTATATATATCAGTCAAGAAATTATCTTTATCCTTTGTTATGATGATGAATAGATTAAATGAATGTAGCAGCCAATAATGATATGCTGAACTCAAGATAGTAACATCATCACAAATCAACTGTCTAGACAACATTCGTTGCTTGCTTTCTTGAAAATTGACATTTTAGCCTCCCAAAAGTTTAGATTAGAAGCAGGTAAATTATGTGCTAATTCTGTTTTCTCTTGTTCCATGTAAAAACCTCACCTTCAATATCATAAATTACAGTAATAAATGTATTTTCTTTTTCTTTTTCATCAATGTCATTAATATTCACATTATTTTGTGGTAATGATGCTACATATTTAAAATAGAAATATATTGTATGACATTTTTGTTCCTTCTTCACTGTCACATTACATTAAAATTACATTGCATATGTACTTTGTTCGACTCCGACTTCTAAATAAAAGATTGTTTCAAATAAGGGATATGATTTCAAAAATATGCTTGTAAGCGCATCCACTATCACATTATGTTTTATATTGTTTTTCGTCCGTCTTGTGGTGATGAAAACAAAATTCTGATTTTGTTAAAATTTTAAGTTTGGGTCTTCATCAGCTTTGTTGAAGTTTAGAAGTAGCTATTTTTTACCATGAAGGAATACTTAATGTTTTCTTTGGATCTACAAACAGGAGAGACGCATAAAGATGGGGTTGCAAAAATTGTCCCTATCTTTGTCTGTTTCCGGTGAAAACAAAAAATAATACGTAACCTGCTACACTAATAGGTAGACGATTTTGGCATTTAAAATTCAGTTATCTGAGAATTGAATTGTAACCTGCTACACTAATAATATGGAAATAGGTTGGGTTGTAAAAGTATTTGGTTTATTTTGAGAAAAATATTATAAAATAAAAACTTTTAGAAGTTAAAAATAAAATATTATATGAATTAGATATTAAAAAATGACACGAGATAAGATTGATGGATGAATTGAATCTGTACGGACTTACTTACCCACGTCGCCTCGTATTGAAATACTCACGCAGTAGCCTGCAGAAAAAAGAAAATATTTAATTAGATACTTGTATAAAATATTTTTTACCAGAACATCTGTTTTGTTTTTATCAAATTAAAAATAACAATAATTTTGAATGTCATAATTGATACCATTCATGTTATAAAATAATTCAAACTTATTTTAATAGTTTAAATTAATACTATTTTGTAATTTTGTAAATACTAGAGATGGATTCGTGCTTGACTTTTTCTGCATTGTTGTTTGTCGTGACTAGTGGTTGTATTAGAAACGTCACATCTGTGCATAAAAAGCATGTAACTAAAATAACTTTTTAATTAATCGTAAATGTGTGAATTAAGTTACTCCAATTGCAACTCTGAATTGATGATGATTTGCGTGCTGAGGAGGTTCATGCCTAACTGACTCTATTTGGCTAATAAATGTGAATGTTTCAAATTTGAAAAAGAGATAACTGTATGAACACGTGCAAGCTGATAGAAAGTGTATGGGTTTATTGGTGAGTATGATTAGAATTAAAATCATGATCAAGTTTTGACGTTAGAAGAAGGAGAACCAACTTCATCTATCTAATCATGTAATTGAGGAATTCGAGGGTCACATCATATTGGCACAGTGTAAGGTTTTAGGTAGAGACAGAAAGTTGCCTATCATCTCACTGTGCACCCTCTTAACCTAAACTCACCTCTATTTTATTGACCACAAAACAAGTTATCGCCCATGTTAAGTAACACTGCATTATTATTTTCTAAGATAAGTGTATTGTACCATGTTAATAGACATTATCTTGTCGATTAATCCTCGATAAAAGCGAAAACAGACAATTATCCATGATAAGGATGTCTCAATATGCTGATTTTGGACATAATGGACAAATTAAAGTCCACTGTTGTGCGTCAACAAAAATGTGCTCCCAAATGGAATGTTAATAGTTTTATTGACTCAGGTGGAAGTGCCAACGTTCTAATGAAGGGAGCATGTAAGGATTGGACTTTTATATATACACTCAGTCTTAATCATAAAAATAACAAAATGACCTAATTATTTCTAATACGCATATACAACTCTTTTATGCTAAAAAGGTTACCTCCTCGCAAACATTTTAAAAGATAAATTATTTCTATTATGAATTTACGATATTAAAACTCTGCTGAGAACCTGCTTTAGCTTCTTATTGCAGTTTTTATGGAACCTTTATTCTCAGTCTCCTTTTTACTTCAAAGGTCAAATTAGTTCTAATCTCAGTTCTTATCATCAATCTCGTGGGACCATCTCTATCGATTTTATATTCATTTTTCCTGTCACACAGGCTCTCCTCTTCGTCTCCTTTTCATCCTTCTGTTGTTTTCTCACAGTCACAGGATTGAAAATAGTATTTTATTGGTAAGAACGGGTTCTTGTGGTTGTTGTGTAAGAACAGTTCGTATATTTGTGGACAACACCTGAATTCGCTTCAGTGATAGAACTTGTGGAGATCCGATTCTTACCAATAAAAACTTTGCTAAGAACTTGGGAAGATGACCTAGAAAACTAAGTTATTTTTTTCTAATTCATCATCACTCTCTACCTAGGCAGCAGACCCAACATCATCTTTACACATATATTTTCCTTTGGGTTATTACATCAACTTTTTTTAATTATTGCGACAAGACATTATCTTCTTAAGAACTAGTTGGGTTATTCACTTTTTAAGTTGGAGTTAAACAGATTTCATTACAATCCAGAATACATTAATAATGTCCCATGTTTATTGGCAACCAAATCATTTCAGACATGGAAAAAATGCATGTGTTCGTATCTACATAAAGCAACAAATTAAAACTACATCGCTATTTTCATAATTCCAAGTAACATGTGTTAAGCTACTATGTGCTGCAAACTACATCCAAGTCATGAAGTTCAAAATGTTCAGATATTTTTTCTATAATTATTTTTTAACATGAATTTGTTTTTCGTTTTTCAAAAGATTCGAACAAGGATATAATTGGGTAATTTTTCTTCAAGTATTCAAAAAGTTCACTTGCCTAAAATTTGAATTTGACTTCAGGTAAAACTAGAACAATGTCATTAATTGATGGAGATATACAATCTGATTGCATTGTGGCGTGCTGAATTGGAATGGAATGGACTGAAGGGTGTGAAAGAAAAGCAATTTACCTACAGTGCACAACTATTGTGTTAAGCTGGGAAAATTGACAAAACCCTTCATGTATACTTTGCAGCAGGCACCCCTGTTTTTAAGGGGCAATTAAAGGGTCCAGAACCAGCCCATGACTTGCTGGTTAGCAGCACCAAGGCATCCCTCAAGGGTCCCATCCCCACCAAAACAAGATTACTGACTTCATCACTTACCAAAAACCAAAACAAACCACAGTGTGGGCCACACACAAATAAATTAGTAAGTTGAGTGATGGAAAACAGACACACCCATAGCGTAAAAGTGTGGAAGACAAGACACACAGTAGTACTACTTCACCTCTCTTTTTCTCTCGTCACTTCCTCTCTCTCTCTCTCTCTCTCTCTCTCTTTATTATTTCAGTATTTTAGTAAATATCATTTTTTTAATATTAGACAGATCTTCATCCTTTAAAAGTAAAGTACCCCCAAATATTTCCCACACAGCAAAATCTTTTTGATATACAACACTCCACACAGTAGTTAAATTACACAATGACCCGAGATTATCTGAAGAAACTCGCGTTCAAGACGCGCACCACGATTGCATGCTTGATTAGATAAAGTACTTAAAAGCAAAATTAAGGTTGCTTTTGCATTCATTAAATATATAATATTTTTTCCTCAACTAATCATCTATACCCTTATCCAAACATACTCAGATTATCAAAAGCTTACAGTTTTAACTTTTAATGAACCCATAATAGAATACGATTTCTTTTGCCTGTTCTCTATCATTTTTATTTTATTTTTTTGTGTGTAAATAAAGCAGCGCATGGCACAACACACAGAGCACAGGGCCATTGGAATAGAATAGAACCAGCATTTCACCACCTCCGATAATTTAATAAAACCCCATAAGCAGAAACACTTTCTGCCTCTTTCTATGGAACACGAGATACAACGAAAAGGCCATTATTATCATCATTCCATGTCTTACGGGGGAGAAAGTGAGAAATCACAGAAAATTAATTAGTTTCCATCTTCCTCTAACTCAGAACCAAAAAATAACTACAGACTGCATGCCAAGTCCACTGTTCAGTGTTAGCACCACTCAAACAAGAGCCAGAAGATCACGGCAAAGATAAAATACATACATACGTACCGGACAACTATCACTAATTAATTCAGAATAAGAGGATTAAAAGCTTAGAAAGCAAAATAAATTCCCTTCTGGATATATCATTCTCTCCCATTAAGTGCTTGCTCCTCATCATCATCATCGCATAAACAATATAAAAACTAAACAATTAAAACAAAAAAGGGAAATGAAACCACTAATTAATTAACCCATAGTAACATCATCAACAACAACAACATCATGATCATTAACCTATCTAACACATTGTTCTTCACTCCCTCATGGATCAAGAAGTAGAAGAAGACCCGTTAGCACCAACGTTCACCCCACCGAAGTGATTACGACTCGGATCCTCACCGCGATCTTCAGCACCACCATCGATGTCGCAGCTAGGGTCTTCGAAACCCTTGTCACCCCCATTTGCATCATTATCATTAATATTATTAGTAATATTATCATTGCTAGTAATATTAACATTATGATCTTTTTTGGCCAAGGTGTTTTTGTTGTTGTGCATCCAAACCTTGAGAACGCTTCTATCAACGCCAATCTCGTTGCAAAACTCGTGAATCAAATCTTCGTCCCTCTTCTGCATCTTCCATCCTACTTTCTCGGCGAACTTGTGCATCTTCTCCTTCTGCTCCTGGCTGAACTTGGTTCTGAAACGCTTTCTGGTGAGCGCGTTGGAGGGTGCGGCGGTACTCTCCGGCGGCGCGGCGAGCCCGGCCGAGAGGGCGATCAGCATGTGAGGCGCGGACGGGTAGTACGACGAGGAGATCGGCGGCGGGGAAGCGGAATTCGGGCTGCGATTGGCCGCTGCCGCCTGGAACGGTGGCGGAGGATGGTGGCGGTGGTGAGGCTGGTACTCGATCACATGCGTGGTGGAGGCGATGGGTGGCTCCTCCGGCTCACGGCGGTGGAAGTTGCGGTGGCATCCGCAGGCCGCGCATTTTATGGAGCTGGGATCGGCGGAGGTGGCGGTGGGGGACGGCATGAACTCGCCGCAGCCATCTAAGGCGTGACCACCCAAGTTGGCGGCGTGGTTTTTGAGGCATTCTTTGTATGTGATGGCGGCGGACATGGGGTGGTGGTGGTGGTGGTGATGGTGGTGACGCTTGAGGACCCCGTTGGAGAAAGGCAAGGCTTTTGTGGCGGTGGGGGTGTTGATCCTGGTGGGTGTTTCGGTGTCATGTTCTGGGGATTTTGTTGTTGCACTGGGAGTGGCGGTGTTGATCGTTGTTGTTGGGGTTATGTCCATGGCTCTAACATCTAGGGTGAGTCAAAGTAACAATATTTAAAAAACGGAAAAACAAAAGGTTTGCTTTTTAGGGTTAGGTTTATTTGTGGAGATTAGAAAGAAGTTTGAGATATGACACTTGCATGAATTGAAGTTGGGAGATGGAGGTGGTGGTGGGTGGCACTGTTTTATATGGGGGGAAATAAAACAGGGAGAAAATGGAAAGAGAGAAAGAGGAAGGGGTTGGAGGAGAAGGGGGAGTGTGATGATGGTGTTGTTGTGTTGTGTTGTGTTGTGTTGAGATGAGATGAGTTGAGTTGAGAGAGTGATGAGATGAGTGTTGATAATAAAAATCTGGGTTTGGGTTTGAGTTATGTGGTTGAGCTTCTTAACCAGTTGTGTTTTTAACCCTGGTTCTAATCCATGGTTAAGTTAGTGACCCCACTTGAGGTTAGATGTGAGTAATAAATATGCGGTCTTGGGGGGATGACCCTACAGTTTATTACCACTATTATTAGTTATTAGGACACTAGTATAGAATAGTAATGGTAATGGAGTTGATTTAATTTTGGGAATTTGATTTGATTTTGCGTGGTTAGTGTAGTGCAGTGAGTTGAGGTGGGGAGTGGTTTCTTTCTTAGCATGAAAATGGTATGGCCTGCAATTCTGAGCCCATTGACTGTAACCCATCTTAATTTGTCAAGTTGGCAGGGAAGGACGGGACGGGACAGGCTTTCACAGTAAAATCATTGAGGTTTTTCATTTTAGGGATGCAACCCATTCCCTTTTCTTTTTTTCCTCCTCACTTTTTCTCTTTTCCTGTAACCCTTTGATTAATCCACTCTATTACCCTCTCCATGCAATCTTCTAAACACACCCCTTCCTTCCAAATTCCCTACATTCCATCATCATCATCTACGCCCATACCATCTTCTTTTCCTTTTTTAATTACTATATTTATTATTTTAGTCTTTAAGGTGAAGACTATTTTTATATTCCAAGGGCTAATTATTGAGTATATAATGTACGATTATTTAAAAAACCCTTTTTTACTTTCGAGAGTAACTAGAAGAGATACGAAAATGAAGCCCAAATACTCTCTCCTCAACTTGTTTTGAAGGGACTCACTCAAGTATCTTTGTCGGCATTACGGACAATAGAACGGTGTCATGGCAAGGGAAACGGCGTCGCATTACGCAACTGCTCCATTGGCCCCGACAAGAGAAACATGTCCTGAAACCGTACCGGGGAACTAGGTGGAATAGATGTACATTTTTTTATTTTATTTTTCATTAGGACCAAAACCCTCTTCACACTTCCACCATATTACATTTTAACCACTTAAAAGACCTTCATAGTCTTTCACTACTAAAAAAATATTTCTTTTGATAATCTATAATCTTCTAACAACGTCTCCATTATTAAATTTAGGTAACTTCATCACAGACTCGCATAAATTTAACGTTACATGTGAAACAGAGGTTGAATTTTTTGATTTATTTTAATAAGTATTTTTACTAGGTCCTTGTGTGTTTTGAAGGTGAGTGAAGAATAAAAGATGAAATTGTATAAATGAATTCAATAATTAAAATGAAAAAAGGAGTGCTTTACCTGGAAGACAGTAAAAAAAGAAAAGAGGTTAGGGGGCACTGAATAAAGAGAGAATATTTTTATGTTATTGTGACGTAAGCAGACTAAAGACAGAAGAGCTAAAGTTTAATCATGGAATGGCGTGTAGACAAACGCTGAAACAACGCATTGAAACTCACAAATCACACAATGGTAACACCAACAGTACTAATATTAAATTTATGGCGGGGTGAAAATGGAACGCAGTGAAAAAACATTCATTATTACATCATCTTAATTTTTAAAAATGTCATTTATTAATTATATTTTTATAACATGTCAAAAAAATTATGATAAATTTACTCACTTAATATTTGTAATTGTATTCATTCACATTAAAAATATATCTCAAACAAATATGACATAAACATGCTGAATTTCTTACATGTGAAAAAAGCAGGGACATTGATACCAAGGCCAAATTCAAACAAGGGGAGAACAAAACACCTTCCATTGGAGAAGGAAACAAATGTTCCACTTTAAAAAATAGAACCCCCACATAAACTAACAGAAGAATAAGATGTGAAAAAGTAGAACTCATAACAAGGAGTAAAGATTAATACAAAATTGTTTCTAACATATTAAACTCACCTACTAACATGTCATTTACCATGTTTATTCACCCTCAACCACTTAATTAATACTTAAATTACCTTAGCCTAAATCTATTTACTAAAATAAAAAAATTTCATTTAACAAATAATATTACATGATCAAATTATTTATTTCAATATCTATATATATCTATCTATCTCTATATTACTTGTTTTCTAGTTATTATATTTTATAATAATAATAATAATAATAAGTTGAAATATTATATGCTAAAGGTAGGATCTCTTTTCTCATTTATTTCAAATTTTAAATTAAAATATATTACCTATTCTATTTTGTATTAAATAAAAAAAAATAAACATGTCTCGATTCAACTTTGTGAATGATATCTTTGCTTATGTAGGAATTAATTGTAATATGAATTCGTTTAGAGAATGAGTTAGCAAAAGTTTGGTTGGATATAATTTTTTAAATATATATTTTTCTGGGAAAATAGGTTCTAAAATTACAGTTTTACTAAATTTTTGTATCAAACATTATTTTTATAGTTTTAACTAATAAACAGAAACTGAAAGTATAGCGGATTAATGCATACTATTTCATAAATTTTCAAAATAATTTATAATTTATCATAAAATACTTTTATAGTATAAGATTTTATTTAATTTATAATAAATATTTTTTTATAAATTAAACTAATTAAATGAGTAAATTAGTTTAAATTCAAGATACAAAATTACTAACATGATAAATACATAAATAAATATTTGGGTTGATAATTTAACTATTTTTCTAATTATGATGAATTAAGATAATGCATATATTATTTATTTTTGTTAATTAAATTAACTATTTTTAAATCATAGTAATTAAATGTTTTGTTTGGATTAGAAAGAAAAAGAAATATAATAAAAAGTAAAAAATTTGTAATTAATTTGATTGGTTTTAAAGAATAAAAAATATAATAATAAAATAGTTTAATGAATAAAAAAAAGTATTTTTGCTAATAAATTAAAGGGAATTAAAAAATATGAATGAATTTTGGTTTTTTAATCATTTACAATTAATTTAAAAAATTTAATTTAATGAAAATATATAAAATACTTTTAAAATTATGCATAATTAAAAATCATTTAAAATAATGTCAAATATAATTTAAATAATATAATTTAGGAGATAATTGATCTAATCATAGTTTGAACTATCAAAATAAATATTGATCGATGGGATGAATTGAATAAAAAAAAAAGACAATTCCTATTCAATTGTATACTAACTATATAGAAATTCAAATTTAAGATATATATCATGCATATTTTTGTGAAGAAAAAAATATCATAGAAATTACTATAGATAATTAGATTAATTCTCTTTTATATATAAGGTGAATAATCTCTATTTCTATTTTTTTAATATGAAATTAAAAAGGTTCCAGTTTATATATAATTGAACCATTGATCTAGGTTGATTGTTGAAGATTCTTTTGGTATGTACTGCATAAACTTTGCATATAATGTGTTTAAACTAATTTATTTTGTACATTAAATACATCACTAATAGAATTTTGAAAAAAAATATATTTTTTCTTGACTTGTGCTTATAAAAATATTTTCAATTAAAGTAATGTTAAATTTTATAATAGTTTATAAAAATTCAAAATCATTGAAAAAACTGTTTCAATAATTTTGTAATACAAAAATATAAGTTTTTAAATTTATCCAAACACAATCTAATCTAAGTTACTGACGCAAGTTTTAAATCTTGAATCTTTATATTGTTCGATCACATAATTTGGATTAAGGTGAGGAACTTCCATCTCATTGCTTCGCACAACCCTTTGAGAGCAAGACTACGTCTGTTTTAGTCCATTTAAGTTGGAAGAAAACCTTACTTCTGATGTAAACTACCTTATCTAACAAGTTCTGTAAACTGAACATACTGAAAACGGAAAATAAGAGATGAGTTCATTTAAATCTCATCAAATAATTGTATATCCACGGACAATATTAATAATTTTCTTGAATTCATTATTATCAATAATTTATATGTATGATGATGATGGTACAGTTAAAATCATCTTCTTTTGCACTCAAGGAAGAGAAAACAAAAATAATTTGATTTTCTTCATAATGCACAAACTGTTCTTTGTTACCCTCTTGAACTAAGAGCAATGTCAAGGTAGATAGATGAAAAGTTGAAATCGAGTAATTAGAGAAATAAACAGAAAGTGCAGTGCAGTGCAGTGTGATGAGTTATGCAGAATGGAGAGAGAGAGAGAGAGAGAGAGAGAGAGAGAGAGAGAGAGAGAGAGAGAGAGAAAGAGAGGTGTAGTGTTGTGGTATGCAAGAATAGAAGATAATGACCCGTGGAATAGGACATTGGGTATATTATAACACTTTTGGTCTCCCTCAAGAGTAATTGTCAAGCAACAACCAACATATATAATCTTTATATGTACACCAGTTTTGTGATCTTTCCTTCCACGTTGCTATGTCCTACTAGCACCAGTACCACCCTCTGTGTCTTGGGCTCTTTAACTTGGACAATCTCAAACTCCATCTCAATTCAATTTCAACTGTGGGTCATCCTTCTTCAACAAACAATGATGTTCAACCTTCTATGGCCCAAGCACCACCACTGCATTGCCCTTTCATTAACAAACTCTCTCTTCTTCTTTCAATCATTTCTTCATCTCTCTTTCTTACTGTTTCACACCTTATTTTACCCCACTCTCAGTTCTTTAGGTTAGCTTAATCTACAATATCACAACAAAGAGTGTTAACAGATATCTCTCACAAGGTTATTTAGTTTTTTCTTCCTTATCTTATTAAAAACTG